ACACACTGATGCACATGCTCTCAGACTCACATGGGGACCTTGCTCAACCCGTAGGGCCCAGGTGAGCCAGCTGATGGGATGACTCACTCTGGCAGTTCCCGTTAGCCAGACTGCAGCTGCCAGGCAGGCTGCCAGCAGCAGGTCAGATGGACACTGGAGTCACTGCTGGGAAAAGGCCTTGGCAGCCTCCTCCAGTGACACAATGGGGCATAGCCCTGTCTTTCAGGCAGGGGCACAGGGTCTCACCCCTTCCTCTGGGGAACCGCCCTGGGTTCAGGAAGAGAGAACCGTCATGTGCCTGGGTATTTGTGTCCTTGTGTCCCAGATGTGTCCCTTTGTCTGCCCATCCTGCTATTCCACTGTGTCTGAATCTGGCTTCTGGGTCCATGGACAGGTCCTGGGAACAAGGGCCAGTCTGTGGAGTCAAGGGCCATATGGAAAAGGCCCAACTGTGACCCCTACCCCATTAGGCGTATGCTGTTAGGGAAGCCATGTGGTCCACTGGGCCCTGCCCAGATCAAGTGGACTCACTCCATGTGACACATCCTGATCATCTGGTGTGATCACCACAGGGCTGTAGTGGCTCCTGTCCACTTCGTGGAGGAGAGGAGGCAGGGGTGGCCTCCTGGTGTGACCCTGGGCTCACCTAATGCTCCCCCTACCTGTATTCCCCTTCAGCAAAGCAGGACAGCCCTCAAGACTGAATTGGTGGGACCAAGCCTTTCCATGTGCCACCCTGAGAGTGGGAGAGCGTCACACCCAGAGGGCCATGCCCTGGCCCCACCCCCACTTTTGGTCAGCAAAGATCCCCTGAGCTGTGTCCACTGGTCCTGTCCACTCCTGGCACAGAGATGGTCCCAGATCCTGGCCAGGGCATGCCTAGGGGTGCTGGCTCCACCCTGGACTTCGGTAAAGCTCAAGATATGCTCACTGTCCTGCAGGAGTCCTGCTCATCTGCAGCCCTGGGTTGCCTCCAGCTGGCTTAGAGCCCTGGACTCCAGACTGAGGGGGGCATGAGCCCTGTCCCCAGGGCTGCCTCCCCCAGCAGGTGGAATCTGGCTCTGCTCTGCTCCCAGTGCTGGGGCTGCCGTTTGGCTGCCAGAGGGAGCTGAGCGCCCTAACCCAGGCCTGCCTGCCGTTGCCCTCCTGGGAGCCCCTTCGCAGGTCTTAGGCCAGTGCTTTGTGGAATAGACAACTTGAGGTGTCAGCCCAGAGAGCTTCTCCACCTCAGGGGCCAGACTCATCCCCAAGTGTCCCTGTGGAACTGTGGGCTCTGTCTCCCTGAGGCTGTCTCTGAGAGGGCCTACCCACAGATGGGGCCAGTCACAAGCTGGACCTTGATACCCAGGGCCAGGTCTCAGAAGCCCAGCCTGGACCCCAGGATCACAGCAAACAGAAGCAGGGACAAAGTGTGTCTTGCTCCATCCCCATCCCTCCAACCAGCTGAAGCCTGACCTTCATCCACTGCAGAGCCCTGCACTGCCAGGACTTCCTGTTATCACACACAAGTGCCCCTCTGGGGACATGTGCCAGCTGGGGAAGGCCACTGCAGCAGGGCTCAGCTCCGGAAGCAGTGCCCCTCACCCCCCAGCATCATGAGGACACAAAGCCAGTTCAGAACTCGCCCTGCTCTCTCTCCTTCCCAGGTGGGGCCTGGGCCAGGAGCTGGCCATGTCACCCTGCCCCCCACTGGATGCTCCCCTGCTCTCCTGCATATCTCCAGGCAGGCCGGGATGTCCAGAGCATCAATGATTGATGCCTCCTTGCAGTAACTGCAGCAGCATAACGAAAATAGCTCTGCCTTGTCCCTGCTCCTCCCGCCACAGCCTCACCCAGCCCAGCCCAGCCAGAGGGAGTGGGGGCATCTAGGACTCCTCAGCTACCCTAGCCCGCTTGGTCCTTTGCAGAGATGTTGGGGATGGTTCCAGGCCTGCTGGCCTAGGGTCTGAGGACGTTGGCCATGAGCAGGTGGCACATGGCCCACACAACCACAGCAGCCCTGTCTCTAATTGTCTCAGTCTCCCCCAAAGCTAAGAGCCTGACTCAAGGCTGGGCATGGGGTCCCTTCCTCTGTGCCTGTACAGCTCAGCACATGCCTAGGACCAGGACACAGGGTCACAGCAAGTTCCGGGGCTGGTCCTTCTACCCAGGGACCACAGGCTGACACAGGCAGGGATGGACATCTCCCTGGAGTCTAGGCATCCTGGAGGAGCAGGACACCTGGGTATCTCTGGGGCAAGGGACCCCTGCTCAGCCAATTCTTTCTATTGGTGATGCCAGGATCCACCAGGGTGACTATGGACTCTAGGCAGAGTGGCGCCTGCTCCAGGTGCTCCGGGACCCAGGGTGGCCCTTCCTCCTGAGGATGGAATAGGGGAGGCTTGGCTCTAAGCAGGACTGGGGTTTGGGGGTAGACACAAGTAGAGGGAGAGGAGGCTGGGAGACCAGCCTGGTCTCCTCCTGGGGAAGTCGTGGCCTCCTGACTTTAGCGAGGAATCACTCCTCTTGGGCCACTGTCCTCAGCACATGGAGCCAATTAAATCTGAGCAGCTACCCGATCTGCCCATGCACCTGGAGGTCCTGCCCAGGCTCATGCCCCCTGCTGTGAAGCAGGAAATTCCACCCAGATGCTGGCCTAAGTGGCAGAGGCCACCTAGCAGCTACTGGGGCCGCCCCACCTCTCCTGCAGCCAGGGATGGTCACCCAATGTCAGGGTCACCTTGGTCCTTCCTCAAGACAGCATTTCTTCAGTGTGGTCACTAGGGGTCATCCAGATATAATGGTTCCAAATGTCTGCTGCAGCAAAATGCCACACCTGGCCTGGGTTAAAAAGAGCACAAGCTCATCCTCCCTCCCAGTGCTGGCGGCAAGGCTGTGTTCCTTCTGGAGGCTGCAGGGGAGTTCAGCCTCCTGGTCCTTTGGACCTCCTGCTGCCTGTATTCCGGGGCTTGTGGTCCTGCGTGGCTGGTGGTCTTGCTTGTTCGGCCTCTGTTTGCACCTTTGTATCTTCTCTCTCTAGCCCTGACCTATCTCCCAGTCTTTCTCCTCCCTCCCTCCCCCCCCTTTCTTTCTTTCCTTTTCAGTGCTAGGGATTGAACCCAGGGCCACTTTACAACTGAGCTGTAACTCCAGCCCTTCACTTATTTATTTCTGCAGTACTGGGAATGGAACCCAAGGGTGCTCTACCACTGAGCTACACCTCCAGCCCTTTTTATTTTTTCTTTTGAGACAGAGCCTTGCTAAGTTGCCGAGGCTGTCCTTGAACTTGTGATCCTCTTGCTTCTGCCTTCTGATGCACCACCACACCTTCCATCTCTTTTCTCCTTATGAGGACCCCATGATTATGCGGGGCTCAACCACATAATTTAGGACTGCCTCCTCATCTCGAAAGCCTTGCTTTAATCACATATGTGAGGTCCCTTCCACTTCAGAAGACCCAGCTTACCAGGGATTAGGAAATACTGAGTGATGTTCCCCAAAACATCATTCATCTACCATATCAAGAAGTGCAGGTGGCCCCCACCTGAGCCCATGGTCAGGTACTGCTGGAACCTGCCATTGTTTGGTGCCTGAGTGGTTTCCTCTATTACCACCTGAAGGCCATTACGCATCTCACATGAAAGCTGCGGCCAGAGGACTTGGAAGCTGCTGGAAAAGCATTCCAGACCCACTCCCCTTCTCACTTGGGCATCTGGGCCCAGACCTCAGCCCCATAAGAGGACAGCATTCTCATCCCCTTTCCAATTCTGGACTTCAAGGTGGCAAGCCCAGTGGGAAAGGGGAGTTGGACAGACAGCAGGACTGCTGACTGAGGCTATCCCGGGTGAAAATGAGACAAGTGGAGCCACTGTCTGCAAGCCCAGCCAGTGTCTGACCCCCCATCCTGCAGGGCCACCATGGGTGCTAGGGCGGTGCTGCAGAGACCTAGTCCCGAGCAGTCAGACTGCAAGGCTCCCTGAGCATTGCCAGGCTGCTCTGCCCCTCAGGAAGTGTGTGGGGTGGTGGTGTCAGGAGGCTGTGGTCTAGGGTGCAGAGAATGATCTCATCTTGTCATTTTTAAAATCAAAATTTTCAGTAGCGTGGCTGAGGACAGGGAGAGGCTGGATAAGTCATGCAAGGACAGACCTCTGCAGGGCTCAAGAAGGCTGCGGGAAATGGGGTGAGCATGGAGGTGGCCCTCCCCTTCCCAGGAGGCCAACATGGCTGCCAGTATGGCTGCCAGTCTGGGGGTGCTGCAGGGGACATGGAGTGAAGCACAAGTTGACTTCATGAGCCTAGGGGTGTGGGCAGGGGATGTGGACAGATGAGAAAAGACCAGGAATACCTAGGGAGGCAGTTGGCAGAGGGCAAAACTCACTCATTAGTGCCCTTACGCTGGGGCAGGTGGCAGCAGGAGGGGGTGACTGTCCCCCCACCCCAACTAGTCCTACTCTGGAAGCTGGCTCGTGACAGACAGGGGGGATCGTGCCTCTCGAGCTCTGCAGGCAGTGGACCCTCATTCTCCTACAACCTCGAGCCATTTAGGGATAGGTTCTGGGAAGACAGACTTGGTCCCTGGTCCTCAGGGAGCCTCCAGTTAGGTAGAAAAATCCTTCCCCAGAAGCACAATCGCCCCTACAGCGTCTACGAAGCAGGATGAGGGGATCAAGGCCAGAAAGTGCGACCCAGGGCCGGCGGCGGCGGTGGGCGGAGCGGGCAGCCCGCGTTTGCTTGTTCCGGTGTGTGCGCTCCATGTGGGCATGCACCGGTGTGCACAAAGGCACGCGGGGCGCGCGATCATCAAGCGAGAAGCTCTCCCGCGGGCTGGCACACAGGACCCGGCCAGGCGGCACCATGGCTCTAGGGGTCACCGCAGGTACTGCGCGGGGCGAGCAAGGGGTGGGGCCTGGCGGGCAGACCACGCCCACGGCAGCGTGCCGACGCCACGGCGGCGGGCACCGGAAGCGGACCGACGCGCGCCGTTGCCGGGCAACACTGGCGCGGCCAGAGGGGATGCGGGCAGCCGCCCCAGAGAAGTGCGTGGGGCTGCCCTTCGCCCTCCCGCCAGGGACGCGCTCCGGGGCTCTAGAGCGCCGCGCCATTTCTTCCCTTTTGGGCCTGGCGCTAGAGCCCGGCAGCCCGCCTTGTCGTTGGGGCCCCCAAGACGCGCTCCAGACTGCAGCGGTCCTGCCGGTGGGCTTACGGGTCCGGCACCTTGGTTGGCCGCGGGACACGCCCCTGTGCTGGACTGGTCAGCAGCGGCCAGGCGGCGTCGGCACACAGCAGCACGTGGGTACTCGCCCGGAAGCCGCGCCGGCCCCGACAGCGTGGCTGGCGGCACCCCAGGCCCTGTCTAGCGCAGCCCTGGGCAGCTTCAGCCCAGCAACTGTATGCCTCGTGCGCAGCTCCTCTTCTGGTCTGCTGGCCTGGCGGCACGAAGATGCAAGACCGGCAGAAGTGGTGGGGAGAGTCCGTGAGTGACTTCACAGGGGAACGGGCCGAGGTTTCCCACTGCTACACAGCTGAAGGACAGAGTGGTGACAATTTGGAACGGATAAGGATCTACAGTGAGGGTCCTCCGTCTGTGCCAGGTGGGAAAGCCAGCAGCTCTCCAACGGGAGAGGGCCTTCCGACTTGCACCACTAGTTGTACCGACGCGGGGGAGCTCAGCAGCACGTGGGGGGAGTTTGAAGGCTTTAGAGAATCTTCAGCCAAGTCTGGACTCCCTCAGTCCCTTGAACTTCTGGAAAGACCCACCGATCCTCAGCCACTAGGAATTCCTGCCTTAAAGGAAGATGGTTCTCACCTACCACACCAGGGTGGATCCGGGGCAACAGGAATCACTTCTCACCCATCTTCAGAGGTATTTCTGTGGTCTTTGTCACCAGACGGAGTGAGAAATGCCCTAAGACCTCTCAAAGGCATCAGGCACTGGGTTAAGGGGCTACCAGCCTTTGAGGGGCCTCTTCTCTCTGGCCTTCATCCCTTGTCATAGGGTTGCCTGTCCTGTCCTCACAAGGCCAGAGAAGGAACCAGTTGACAGCAGAGCCTGCAGAAATGGATTGGGCAAGACCAGGTGGGGGCAACCCAAGCTGGGCCACTTTCCATGACCACTTCCCATCAGCAGAGGTGGTACTTGTGTGGCCTCATTCAGAGTCTATGGGGAAGAAGCTCTTTTTCTGAATCTGCTGGCTTATAAAGTCCCAAGTCCTAAAGTCACACAATCACATATAGCTTTGTGCAAGGCCCTGGAACTGGAGCTGGCCAGCTGAGCCCCAGCCCCTCATCTTGTCTGTTCCTCAGAACTCAGTGCCCACCCTTGCCTCCTCTGGCTCCTCTCTGCTGGTCATTCTCCTCCTTCTGTTGTTTCTCTTTGCCATCTCTTCCCAGATGGTTCACCACACACACCAGGGAACAAAAGATAAGTTCAATAGTCAGGAGGGAAGTAAAAGGTATTGCTGGTAATCCAAACTCTCCTACACCAGTGATTTCTTGGCCTTCAGTGAGACTTGCTCTTGGGACAGTCAGTTCTGCTGTAACACTTGTTTTAAAACTAGGACTCCTTTCCAATGCAATTGATGCACTAAGGAATATTTGAGCATACCGGAATTTTGCAGGAAACACTAGGCAAATGGAACACCTGCACCCCACAGAGCTGAGGCATGTTGATAGACATAAAACTTGCACCTGCACACCTCAGATAACTACCAGCACCTGGTTTACCACCCCCATCCCACCTGGCTTTAGGACACTACCCAGTTCAGACTGTCCCCGACCCCTCACCTGGCTGCCTGCAAACCTCAGGGCCTTTTCAAGGTGAGGCTGTTTCCATTGTATGTGTGAACTTCTCAGCCAGCTCACATGAAAAATTGTGCCAGTGTTTGAAAGGCCACCTTTTCCCTGCATCTCCGATGAGCTCTGAGTTGTGCCCTCACCCACCTCCTGTGAGCTCTGTGGTTTTCACTGTGATTTTATAGAGAAAAGAGGTTTTAGGAGAGGCTGTGTCAAGTGATGGTGGCACTGACTGCACAGTTGAGCTCAGGTTTCTTTTGTATCAAAATTAATTACTCAGATTATGTGACCTAAATGCCTGTATTTCTCCTGATTCTGGAATGTTCTTTCTTTCCAGCCTGTTCTCAGGTATGAGAACATATTTAGGTTTGCTTTTCAAGAAGTCACAGTTGAGCAGGCAACTGAAGATGTTTCCACCTTAGACCATTTCTTGGACATAAGCAGTGAAGAAGACCCTGGCCTTGCATCTGCACATAGACTGTGGTAATGAACACCAACAGAGCTAAGAACCCCATGGCAGTGCTGTACCTGCACGGTTGTTTAATAACATGGCTGCACAAAGTTCTGTGTGTGCCTCCTGGAGAGCATCACTGCCCCTGTAGCCTCCTGTGGGCTACAGTGTCCTATGGGGAGCTGGCAGCACAGCTGGAGGCTCCAGCAGTTCTGACCTTGCACACCTTGAGCAAGCTGGCCCAGGTGCCAGCCCTCTTGTGTCTCAGCACGAGTGCAGGAGAGGATGGGAGAGATGGTGGGCCCCAGAGCAGCCCTGGTGTACTTGGTTGAGTGGTCATTGGCAACCCCATGAGCCTCAGCCACAGAGCTGTAGAAAACACCCCCAAGCTGTCCACTAACCCACGGGTGGCCATGTGCTTCCAGTACTGCCTACAGTGCTGTGGGTTCCCAGAGAGATCAGGTGCACTTAGTAGTGGGTGCTGACAGTGGCTTTGAAAGGGTATGCTTCCAGCACCTGTTGACAGAAGCAGGCTCCAGGGTGAGACAGTGAAGGGCTGAGATGCTCCAGATAAGTTGGCCTAAGACCCCAGGAGGGGAGAAAGTGAGATGAGCAGGCTTCTTTGCCCCTCAGTAATGTGGGGAAGGCCAGGTCAGCAAGCCATGGGGGTCTGTGCATGTCTGGACAGGCCTGGCTTTATCACAGCTCTGCAGGCCATTCAGAGCTCTGGCTTGACCCATCATGGCCACTGCTGTGCAGTAACCCCGCACCTTCCCATTGTGCCTGCTACAGTGGTCTGGGGAGAGACACCTGGAGCCCGAAAGGCTGTGGCCTCCACTGTCCACATGCCTGTCTCCCTGTGTGTGCTGCTCCTGCCTGGCACAGCCCCAGGGAGAGCCTGCCTCAAGAGTGGCTCCTCAGGCCATAGGATTGTGGGGTGGCACTGGCAGACCATTCCCTAGAGGTACAGTGGTTCTAGAGTCAGTCTTGGCAGGGCTGACACTCAGGAGAGGGTGGTGAATGTTGTTGGGCTGGAGAAGAACCCTGTTTGCATGTTCCGAGACATTGGCATGATTGGGAAATGATTTAGGCATTTAACACGTCCCATCTGCTCCCGTGTTGTCGGATACCCACCATGTCCTCACTAGGGCTAAAGCTTCTGACCAGCAGGCCCCTCTGCCCCAGTGTCTGGTGGTGATGGTGACCATACCCTGTTTGTTTCTTCATCCATTCTTCTGAGCCCTCAGTGTTTTCCTAGTTTGCGAACATGGGTTTTGTGGCTAGCACAGCTGTAATAGTGAACCAGACAGCAAACATCTGGCCTTGAAGACACTCTCTGATGAGAACAGGCCTCCTGTGCTGGGACGCACTGTGGAAAGAAGAGGCAGGGCAGCATCAGGAACACTGACCACAGGGGTGTGTGTCTGAGTGAAGGAGGTAGCCAGGGCCCCTGAAGGGGCGCCATCTAGTGTCACCTGTGCCAGGTGCTCCTCTGCTTGTGAGACTGGGCTTCCTGACCTGCTCAGAAGGCTTTCAAGTTCATCTTTAGTGACTTCATCTATTTTCCAGTTCTGAATCTAGAAAAGTCTGGCGAGCCCTTCAGAACACCAGCAACATGTCTGCTTTGCGATGCCTCTGGAGCCAGTCTCATTGCCAGGAGAAGCTCTTCCTGGTTCTTGGCATAGAAGCTGCTCAGAAGGTGATGTGGTTCAGGGGGTGGAAACTTCACTGGGCCCAGGACAGAGAGGGTGGTGGAGAAAATGACACTGGAAGGCCAACTGTCCCGAGGTCAGAAGCCACTGATTACTTAGAAGGCCACTGGTGGTGAGGGGTGTGGGTGTGCCTGTTGTGGGCAGCACCTGGACACTGGTGCGGGGTCCTGCAGGAGTGGGTGCAGATGTGGAGACAGGGTGCACATGGACTTGGTGGGGAGAGGAGGAAGGTGCCATGTGTGGAGGTGGAATACCATGAAGTTTAGAGCATGGGTGGGAGCACTCTGCAGGGCACTGCAAATCACCAAGGTGTGCTTGTACCTCGGGTGTTGCAGGAGGTGCTGAGGTTAGGCCAGGGCCTGCTGAAGGGGACAAGGGCAAGTTCCAGTATGGGCACAGGCATGAGGCTGAGAGGGAGAGGCCCTTGGAATGTGGAGGATGGCCAGTGTGCACCATGATGGGCAGAGATAGTCTCATAGACAGGAGCTGCTGCTGCATGAGGCAGGAGCAGCCCAGAGCCAGCCAAGCCCAGGATACACACATCAGGCCTGTGTCATCAAGAAACAGTGACAGGGCCACCTTTCAGCAGTCAATATAGAACAGATCTTTTTCCATTCTTGAGTATTTTAAAAATGTTTTTTAGTTGTAGATGGACATAATATACCTTTATTCATTTATTTTTATGTGGTTCTGAGGGTGGAACCCAGTGCCTCAGTGTGCTAGGCAAGTGCTCCACCACTGAGCCCCAGCCGCAGCCCTCCATTCTTAGGTGGAAACTTTTAAAATGGAACTCAAAAAGGAGCTGACAAGGCGGGCCTCATGGTCCCAGTGAAGATAGTCATGTGGACGATGGCCATGCTGACTGGTCAGGAGGCCGTGTGGTGCAGGGGAAACAGAACCAGGGGGTTCTGGAGGGGAGGCTCAGGCAGAACAGCTACCATAGTGGCAGGCTGTGGGTGCTCTTCCTTCAGGTGGCCATAAGGGCATTTCTGTTGAACACTGTCGTACTCCATTCTCTATTTACAACAAAATGCCTGGTAATTGTAAAGCATAGAATTTTGTTTGGCTCATGGTTCTGGAGTATGGAAGGAGAGCATGGTGCTGGCATGGTGAGGGCCTTGTTTGCTGCACCTTAACATGGTGCCAGCCATCACAAGGCGACAGAGCAGTCATGCCAGCTCAGTTCTCTTCTTATAAGGCCACTAGTCCACTAGGAGGGCCCCACCTCTTGGCCTCCTTCCACCCCAATCACCCCAAGTGCCATCAACACTGTGAATTTGGGGTTGTGTGTTCAGTACAGAAGTTCTGGGGGACACACTAGAACCACAGTAGGCAGGTCTGGCTGCCCCTGAACCAGATGATAGACAGCAGGTGGCAGCGCTGAGCAGGGAGGGCCCTGGCCTGACCCTCCCAGGGCCTATGCATGTCCAGAATTAAGGTAGAGGGGCTCGGGTTAAAACGGAAGGTGAGAGGAGACAGTGACTCTGTCAGCTGTGTGACATAGAGGTTTGTCTCCTCAGAGTCCTTCCAGAGACCAGGGTCACATTTCAGAAGGTCCTGACCTCAAAGGTCCTGAAGAGCTGCTGGCACTCAGCACCTTCGACCTGCCCCACTGCAAAGCCCTGATCCAGACGAAGGTGAGCACCCCACAGGAGAGGCCTCAGGAGGCAAAGCTGGGTCCGCACACAGCTCCCTGTGTCCTCACCGAGCCTGGCTTCTGTTCTTGTTTGATGCCTAGGCACTTAGAATGCACGGGTAGGAAGGCTGCACCGCAGGCAGGGTAGTCCTGGATCTCCCACCTGGGCAGGGGTGGGCGCCTGAAGTCAGCCAAGCAGCTTTCCTCACCCTCATAGTGAGACTCGAAGCAGGAAGAAGGGCAGGTGGAAGATTGTGTTCCAGAAGCCCTCTCTTTCATCTGGGGTGGCGTCACATGCCCAGCTTGGATCAGGTGCTACAGGAGGGGCAGGTGGCCAGGTGGCCAGGCCCAGCCACAGGGCTGTGTGTGTGAGTGGGAGGTGGGAGAGCGTGGCACTGGGCAGCGTGTGTTACAGATCTGCTAGGGGAGGGCCAGCAGTGAGGCACAGCTCTCTGTGGGAGGACACTGCAGCCAGGTTCCGAGGGAGTCTGGGGCAAGTGTGGTGCCACCCAGCTGATGCCAGCTGCAGCCTTGATGGTTGGCACATGGTGCCAGGTATGCAGGCACTCAGGAAGGCCTTTGCATGAACACACACAGGTCTGTCACAGGCCCCAGAGGACTCTGGGTCCCTCTGTTCTTTGGAAGAAGCCTCGAGGTAGACACTATTTGTCTTTGAGCACAACAGGTTACCTGTCTGTAGCTGTGGCATTTACAGTAGCCAGCACGTGAGGAGGTCCAGCAGCAGCTGCGACGTGGGAACTGCAAGGCTGGGAGCATGGAGGGTAGGGGGACCAGACCCAGGATAAGGGCCAGGATCCTACTTAGGAAACAGACCAGCTCTTCTGGCACCATGGCACACACCTGCAATCCCAACACTTGGAACACTGAAATAGGAGGATTCCAAGTTCAAGGCCAGCCTTGGCAATTTAATGAGACCCTGTCTCAAAATAAAAAGGGCTGGGAGTGTTGCTCAGTAGTAGATGCCCTGGGTTCAGTTACTAGTGCTAATGGTAAGAAAGCTGGCCTTTCACTTGGGAAGTCAGGTAGCAGTGGCTTGCTGCAGTGGGGAGAAGGCCAGGGATAGGTAGGCCACTAGTGGCCTTGGTCCCAGTACACCAGCGCTGTGCACTTCTCTGGTTGCACTGCACAATGAAGTTTTTAGGATCACGGTGACCAAGGAGAGATTGTTGAGGGGCCAGAGATGGGCAGGGCAGATGCCACCTGGCACCTCTAGTCACCTGTACTTGTATTTGACTGCTGCTCTCCTCTCAGCTCTCAGGGACACCTGGCAGCAGACAGGGGAGCCTCATTACCTACAGCCTCTTTCTGAAGACACCCCTGCATGGAAACGGGCGACACATCACAAGTCCACAGGAAAAGAAGGTTTTCCCTCCACGTCACCTAAAGCTGGCGTTTTTTAACAGGGATGTGTGCTAGAAACAGGAGTATGTCATGTAGGCATTTCACATCATCTCACTGGTTGGGTTTGGTTTCCTAGGCTCTTTCAAAACCCCTGCCTCAGGTCTGATCAGGAAGCATGGGGTGTCTTGGGCAGAGCCAGTCCCCAAGCAGAGGGGAGGGGTTTCTGGATGCACTGCAGCCTGACCAGCAGATGCCACCTGCTCCTGGTGGAGGGTGTCAGGGATGATCCCACACCTGGCCCAAAGTGGGGCATGTACTGAAATACCACCTGGGAGACAGCTGCACTTTGAGAAACAGCATTGGCACCTGGTCCCAGGAGGTCCTGGGCTTCTGTGTTGTTCCTGGAAGTGCCATGAGCACTCCCCAACCGCATTCACACTGGTGGCCTTGGGGACAGGCCTTTCTGATGGCTGGGAGGCCACACTGCGCCAGCCCTGGAGGCCCAGGTGGGTAGGCAAGTGTATTTCACTGGTCATCTCCTGCATAGATGGTTTTCTTCCAGGAAAGGGCCAAGCGGGCAGCACTGACTTTGTAGAGCTTTACTTAATAAAGGGCCTCAGTAAGCCTGTGCTCTTGCTGACTGGTTGACTCTGCAAGGACTGATGACAACATTCTGTCCCGAAGGGGAGACCTGAGGCTGGAGGGGCTACAGAGGCCATGCTGGGGGCTGGCACTCCAGGTAGAGCCCCTGCTGTCTCTGTACCAAGGCCACTCTAGGACCAACTTGCTCAGGAGGTGCCAGCTTCCCTTCACCTGACCCACTGATGTAGGTGCAGGTGATAGCTGCTGTGCCCGCCAGGAGGAAGGAAGTTGGCTGTCCCTGGTCACCCCAGGTGGCTGTGCATCAATACCATGTGGCCCACAACAAAGGGGTGGCTCAGATCATTTCCATGGCACCAGATGTCAGGAAAGCTGCTCTGACCTCTCGCGCTTAACCAGAGGACGTGTAGACCAGCACACAGAAATAAAAAGGCAGTTTCTGCACAGCAGAGGGAGGCGGGCGGCAGGGAGAATGCGGACCTTGCAGGGGCAGTGTCACCAATTACAGGTGGACAAAGGGCCTGGAGGGACACTTCTCAGAA